TTGAGTTGATCGCCACCCTGCGCAAGACAAGTGTGAATCACAACAACGCATCTTATCCCGACCTAGTTCTTTGTCAAAACACAGATTTTGAAATTATCCCGTGACACGTTGCTCAACATGCCCAACATACTCGATGCCAAGAACCCGCCGCATCTAGCCGACTGTCATATGAAGGCGTCTTCGATCAAGTACATATTCGCGCACTGCTGTTGCACCCGACGCACGACGACGCTGTCAACCACACACCCGAATGCGACGTGAGGATGCAATGGCAGGTTCCAGAACGGGGGCATTTAATAACCCTGCTGCGAGGCGCACGGCCGACACGACGCTGGCACAGGAGTTTCGGGACTCACTGCTTGACGCGGCATAGGAAACGTGCCGTACTAATGGTATACGTCTGTTGGACGTTGGAACCCTGTGTTATTTAGTAATGGATATTGTGCATCGTAGCTCTTGATTACGTCCTTTCGATTTTCACGTGATGCCATAATCAAGCTGTCCAAATCCTCAGTATCCTGGCTTCAAAGTATCGTCAACGATGGAATTAGTTCTCAAAGGGTCACAGGCCCTTGTCACTTTCCCCGCCTGCGGATTATCTTCCTTTTGCCGGCTACGTTGTCGTTCCTGCAGACCTCGAAAGGAGCCCAACGAGAACAATGACGGACTGTGGTTTTTCCCTGGGTCGGAATTTCTTGGCTTTCATGTTTGAAAGGACAGGTGTAATGCTCTGCGGAGAAATCTGCAACTCGGGCAATATACCGACATATTTTGATCCCTCCAAAAGGGCTGAAATTCGATATTTCATGTGAATATGGGGCTCTTGAAATGCGTTCATTCTTTCCAAAGTAGGAAGCTAGGGTACCGTATAGTTGCGCCGCCAAGCCTGGTGGCTGCGGGTCAGGAATTATCCCGCTGACTTTGACACACATTACGGATTGAAGTCTTGATCCACGTTCTTGACGCCTGCTTTCCTGGCAAAAGAACGCAAAGGAAAGTCATGTGCAGCTGCGTGATCCCTGTTTGCATGCCGAGGTCCTGTAACCTTACCCTGGCTCTGAATGGTAGGTGATGGGTTATGGTCAGCAGGCAGTGTCCCCAACATTACGTTGTGGAATCGGACGTGGTGCCTGTTATGGCTTGATCCGCGCCGAATGAAGCCTAGCAGGATCTGGGGTAGCGCAAGGGTCGGAAATGCGGGGAGCACAGCAGGGTCAAGTGCTGTCAACGTTTCTTTGCTGCTGATCTTCCAGCATGCCTGCCGCCCAGCACTGACACAACAGCTCGTAAGCAGCTTGAGCTGCGGCAGTCTGGTGTGTTGAGCTTGGGAAGCGTAAAACCGGAGTGTCGGATGGGCCAAAGACCTGGCCTTGATGTACTTCCACATCATCTTGCGCTGGGTTCAGCCTTCAGCCGACTCCGCGGAGGCGCCTGCTCCGGGTAGGGACTTATGGCGTCGGCATGTGTAATAGACAGCTCAGCCTGTTTGACGGATTCTAGGGCGCATCGTGTGGCACACTGAACAAGGTGCGCGCATTGCGCCGCGCGATTGAGACACACAGGTGCAGGACATGAGAAATAGCGCCGGGAGATCATCCAATCGTGGAAGGCTATTTGGCCTATCAAGAAGGCTTCCAACTCTGTTCTACATTCCGATCCGGGATAGCTGAGCCCGACTTTCTCCTGGCGGTAAAGGAGTCATATGCTGCATGGTACTGGGAACATGTAATGAAGGACAGTATAAGAGGGCGACAACATCCTCCGGTTCATGGTGTGTATGTTTGGAGATATTAGACAGGTAGCCCCCTTTTCAAGCGACACTACATCCGAGTTTGCTTTCTGCGGCATTCTCCATTTCTCTCTTGGTCCCCCGTGTTCCTGCATACTTGATTGATATCGACACCATGCACTTCTCAAAGGCAGTTCTTGCTGGCCTAGCCTGTAGCTTCGCCGCGGGTGCTCCGGTGTCGGATGTGGAATATACGGCCATTGAAAAACGGGATTTGAACCTGAATGCATTTCTAGCCGCGATTGTGGAAATATTTCCCGTCAATGTTCCCGTCAATGGCATCTGTACGGCTTTGGGCATTGGTGAAACTGCCTTGGCAGCGGCATTTGGCCTCAAAATAAATGCCAACCGTAGGGGATGTGCCGATGTCACGGTCGTCTTCGCACGAGGCACCTGTGATCCCGGTAACGTTGGTGCTCTCGTTGGGCCGCCCTTTTTTCGGGCTCTCGAGGCGGCCATCGGGTCCTCCAAGTCGATCGCAATTCAGGGCGTTGAGTATCCAGCAACGGTTGACGGGTATCTCAGGGCAGACCCAGCTGCTGGAGTTACCATGTAAGTTCACCCTGGCTGACTGGTCCCTCGGGCAACAAGCATGTGCTCGTTGTGCTGACACATCTCACCAGGGCTAAATTCATCACCAACACCATCGCCGAATGTCCCAAGACACAGTTTGTATTGAGCGGATATTCTCAGGGAGGCTATGCTGTCCACAATGCGGCCAAGAATCTTGACGCCAAGTCCATGTCCAAAGTCAAAGCCGTCGTCATTTTCGGAGACCCAATGTCCAAGGAGCCGGTGCGAGGCATTGACGCAAGCAGGGTAAGCATTGTTTGCCACGAGGGCGACGATATCTGCGACGGAGGTGTTTTCATCACACCGCAGCATATCACATATGCTGAGGATGCGGAGTCGTCTGCCAATTTTGTGGTGTCGAAACTCTGAAAACACTTAGGGTCGGAGTGGCGGAAAAGACTCGAGAGTCAAGAGTCAGGTGTGCAGCTGGTACGCATCGCCTTATTGTACGTGACGAGCACATAAATAGTCTTGAAAAGCGCATTTTAACTCTCGACCGAGAAGTTTGATGAATCTATGCCATGGTTGCATGTTTGTGTTGAGTGAAGGTTGGAGTTGTGACCATGATGAGAGATTGACGAGGTGACATCGGGAAGGAGCATTCGAAGGCACCAGACTCCATTTCTGCCCGCCTACCCTGTTGAGTGAGCACGTGCAGTTGGCTCTGGTTTGCACGTCAAACTTTGCATGTGAGGTCAAGTGATACCCCGACTTGACTGTGCCCTCAAATGCACGATTTCAGCACAGTCCAACCTCGACAGTTGGGTGGCACCACTTGCAACTTTTGGAGTGGCATGATTGCCGTCCAGTGACCACCCGCATATGTACGAACCTATTGACAAAACGCATGTGCACCTGAGTCACTGGCTCCTTTTGCGAGACACGGGCCGACGGGCAGCCACAATGCCATTGTTCCAAGCTTGCATGGCACTGAGTAATACCAGACGTCAATCGACTCGGGAAATGGACTGATGCTCATCAATAGCAGCCTGATTCGGGGTCGGAGCAGCCCATCTAATGTCAAGTCTCGTGTCGCGCCTCGACTCCGACTTTCGAGTGGCGACGGCGTCACTTGCCCCACCAGAAACGCAGCCGGTCACATCCATTGACCCTTTCATCCCCGTTTACCAGTCGACGTACTCCGTACATGAATACTACCCGGAGTTTTTCTACATTTCAACACCCGTATTCCGTTCACCTAACCCAGTTCCTCATCACAATCATCCTAGTCCTTGTCAACCCCGGACTCTGGCGGGCTGGAGCTCCATCTCCATCACTCTTTAGATTGCAACCTCGTCTTGCCGTCAGTTGAATCTCAACTCCTACATCCGCACCGAGGCATCGCGTACCATCCCCCATCCATCAACTTACCACATACGCCATGGCAGACGAGAAGAAACCAGTCATCATTGTCGGCCATGGCCTGGCTGGCCTCGTCGCAGCCTATGAGTTGTCCAAGCGCAAAGTCCCAACCATTATTGTTGATCAGGAAAATGCCAACAATATTGGTGGTCAAGCCTTCTGGTCCCTCGGCGGCCTTTTCGTTGTCAACTCTACCGAACAGCGCCGCGTTGGCATCAAAGACTCGCGAGAACTGGCCATGCACGACTGGCTCAATTCAGCGCAGTTTGACCGCGAGGACGAGGACCACTGGCCACGGCAGTGGGCAAAGGCATTTGTGGATTTCGCTACAGATGAAATGGAGGACTATGTCAAGGGCCTCGGCCTGGGCTTCATGTTCAATGTTGGCTGGGCCGAGAGAGGCGATGGAAGGGCTGGCGGCCATGGCAATTCCGTGCCGAGGTTCCATCTTACGTGGGGCACCGGCCCCGAGGTTGTTCGAATCTTCAAGGAACCCGTTTTGAGCGCTGCCAAGAAGGGCATTGTGCAGTTTAAGCACCGTCATGCAGTGGACGAGATCGTTGTCGATGAAAAGACGGGCCGAGCCATTGGCGTCAAGGGCCGCGTGTTGGAAGAGGACGACGCTGCGCGGGGCGTCAAGTCGTCGCGCAAAGAGGTCGACACCTTTGAGCTCCGAGGCGCCGCTGTTCTGGTGTCGTCCGGTGGCATTGGCGGCAATGTTGAGGCCGTGAAGGCATCGTGGCCGCTGGACCGGCTTGGTCCCAAGGTGCCTGAGCACTTTGTGGTTGGGGTGCCTGCTCATGTCGATGGGCGCATGGTGGGCATCTCAGAAAAGGCCGGGGCGCATCTTATCAATCGCGATCGAATGTGGCACTACACCGAGGGGCTGCAAAACTGGAACCCCATCTGGCCGGATCACGGAATTCGTATTCTTCCCGCTCCCTCGTCTCTGTGGCTAGATGCTTCCGGCAACAGGCTGCCGCCTTACTTGTTCCCCGGATCAGACACGCTCGGCACGCTGAAGCACATCTGCCACACGGGCCACGATTACACATGGTTCATCCTCAACCAGACCATCATTGCCAAAGAATTTGGCCTCTCGGGCTCTGAACAGAATCCAGACATCACCGGCAAGAGTGTCTGGAAGCTTATCGGCCGAATCTTTGGCGGCAAAGGGCCGGTCCCCGTACAAAATTTCATGAAGCACGGCAAGGACTTTATTGTCAAGGATACTCTTGAAGACTTGGTCGATGGCATGAACAAGCTTGCTGCAGAACGAAATGGCCCTCCGCTGGAACTGGACAAGATCAAAGAGGTTATTGAGACGAGAGACTTGCAGTTCAACAACGCATACTCCAAGGACGCTCAAGCCATGTTGATCAACAATGGTCGGTCGTACTGGCCCGACAAGGCTTCGCGAGTGGCAAAGCCGCACAAACTCTTGGACAAGTCCAAGGGACCGCTCATTGCCGTGCGCCTGAATTTGCTCACGCGCAAGACTCTGGGGGGCATTGAGACCAATTTGCAGAGCAACGTGATGCGCGCGGACGGGACCCCCCTTCCTGGTCTGTATGCTGCCGGCGAGGTGGCTGGCTTCGGTGGCGGTGGTGTGCACGGCTACAATTCTCTCGAGGGCACCTTTTTGGGAGGATGCATCTTTTCTGGTCGCGCGGCTGGGCGGGCGATGGCGGATGAAGTTGCTGGGACCCAGGCGCGGCTGTGAGGAACCGGCAGGGGAAGCCTTTTCTTTTTTGTCGCGACGCAGGCTGATGTCTCACCGTGGCGACACTTGGCTGCACCACTGCCCTGCCATGCCATAGTTTCAGTCGGTTGGGATGCGGAGATGGATTGCAGACGTTGTACCAAATACATACACGAACCTACTTGCGTCCCCTATTGTACTGTGTAGATGCCTCCCTAGGTAGTTATCAGTTACAAAGAAGAATTAGTCATTCCACCTCCGCCGTTGGATCGAGTACGGGCGCACTGGCCAGCTCTTTGCACCCGGAGAGTCTTGTGATTTACGGAGTAGCAAGCCGGGATTTCTTTGTTTGTCCCGTTTGTGACTCGGCTTGGGTTGGCCCGGCGCTGTGGCTGGGGCAAACAGGCCGTCGATCTTGACCTTGTCGGAACAAATGGCCACGACCCGAGCACCCGTCCGTGGAATGCATAGTCGTGATCTCCGCGAAGCCGTGCCTGGTGGTTGGGGTCCGATGCCCAGTTGGCGCTGCATTGTGGCCATGGCTACCCCGTAGCGTCATTATAATGGCAGTTCCATCTCAAGTTTTTGCTTCTTCTTTCTTCCCGCCTCTATTTCCGTCACTGCGCCCCGTGCACATACATCCGCATAGGCCATCTTGTGTCCGGGTCGTCTTGCCAGGCGGCGCCCATCTCTCAATTGTCGGCACGGCGTTGCATTCGGCCATTCGTCCCGTGCGGGCTGCCTGGCTTTTGGCGTTGGGCGGAGACGGCGTGTCGTCATAGCCAGCTGATGCCTCGTGCGCTTGTGCCTCGCCTATTCGTGTCACTGGCTGGTAGGTGCATATTGCTGAGGCGGGCGGGTGGATGTAATTTGACTTATAAGAAGCGTTTGTCGTCGTTGTCCTCGAGCCGGGTGGCGTATATCTTGCACACTTGAGCATCTTGATTGTTTGAGACTATTGCGGCACCGCTGTGATTGCGCTTCTCGTCGCCGGTTCTTATCATCACTTCTCACCGTCGCTTTTTATTGCCGCTTCTCGTCGCCGCTTCTTATTAGTGTCATCACCACCACTCTCACCACCACCTCACCACCACCTCACCACCACCTCACCATGTACTTGTCCGCCATCGTCAGCCTCGCCAGCCTGGCAGCTGCCTCGCCCATCATCGGCTCCCGCGACACGCCCACAGCCACGCCCCCCACGTCCAAATCACAAGGCTTCCAGCTCGTCGTCAACGTCACCGACCTGTCGCGCGACTTCTCGCCATCAATCCACCAAACGTACATCAACGGCATCCACGTCGGCGCCGGGCTGTCCCTGCTCGGCGTCGGCAGCAAGACCGACCACCCGCGCACCTTTTACATCAACGGCACGGCGCTCGAGTTCCACTTTGCCAACTCGACGGTCCTCTCGGACGCCGGCACGCCCCCGACGCCATGGGGCCTCCGCCTCGCCCGGGACCAGGGCTCCGACACGGCGAGCACCGCCCACCTCGACGCCGGCCCCGGCGCAAGGGGCGTCGGCCTGACGCGCTGGTCCGTCCCCTACACCTTCATGTACCCCGAGACCTATGCCGTCTGCAACGAGACCGTGCCCTACTACGCCGGCCGGCCGTTCCTGGCCGTCAAGCAGTTCGCCCTGGGGCTCCGGGGGCCCGAGGCCATCCCTGGCAACTGCGTGCCTGTCCGCCTGTTTGCCCAGTGCGCTGAGCTGGACGACTTGCCGGAGGGGTCGCTGTTTAGTCATGAGTATGCTTACGAGACCGAGTGCTACGAGGACGTGGCTGCCATTGAGTGGCCCAAGTACCGTCCTTGGTGACGTGGCGGGCTTTTTTCCCTTTTTTGGTCCCGTACTATTTTGTTTAATTTTAGTATTTCATATAATAGGCCGTGTGCGTACTTGGGAGCCGCGGGGGAAAATATCATCGGGCATTTTGGGCGAAGCGAATAGATTTACTCATATCCGTAATTTTAATAGTTGACAACGCTGCATTGGGTTTTATGCAAGTGACTTGTTATATGAGTGGCATGGGGTACTTGCTTCTGTGAGATGAATGGCCAAGACCAAGCACGATACAAGACCCTGATGATTACGGACGTTGACCTGGGGTATGCAAAGAGAGGAGGGCGAACATGGTAGCGTCTGTGTAATTTAGCGGGCTTTATACGTGTGCGAGCTGTTCTTGTTGTTGGATTTGATGCTACTATATGTGCGGGTTTTATGAGGCTTACGATGCTACATGAGTAACGCAAGTTACTTGTCTTTTATTAATTCAGTAGTTAAAAATTACCTTATACATGTATATTATATTACCAAGGTAAAGCGAGAAGCTAAAGCTAACCCCGGTCACTTGCCAGCGCGCTGATTTACTCCACGTCGGCCACCAAGTATTCCGCTTTGCCTACCCGAATATTCTTACAGCACGGCGCTTCTGCCAGACTCACAATGGACCCCCGAGTTTGTCATTCAGGGGGGCCAAAGAGCACGCCATGGGTCAGCACTGCTGAAGCGAGACACGGTGCCACGGAGTTGCTGAGCCATCTTATCGGGAATGCTTCCTCGGCTACGGTTATTCCCGACCCGCGCGAATAAATGTCATGATTGTCTATTGGCTATTTTTATAACCCCTACAGCTGAAGGCTGTCGTATTTTCGCATGTATAGTCAGAGAATGGCTGACCTCGCCGGGGCAGATATTCAAATCAGATGTGCGGCGGCAAGTCCCGTCCAAAAGTAGCATTGTAGGTAGAAGAAGCGAATTTAACAAGACAGATTGAATTGCTGTAAAAAGCTGTAGAAATTCTGTCTTCTTGCCTGCCATGTATAGTGAGGCATAAACACTCCGATAATCTACCTCGCGCGTCATATTGCAATACAACGATCCTCGGTTGTCTTAAGTATAACGTCTATGGGCAAATATTTTCGGCCCTAATTATAACGATAGGCACGCAGGTTACACGGGAGATGGAAAAAAGAGAGCGCTACACCTGAAAAACGCAAGGCCTGAGGAGACGGGTCCGGCAAGGTGATGCACGGAGTTATCCCAAGTGAGCACCCGACTACAAATCCCGGGCCAGAAGAGCAGACGAAGACCTGCCAGATTCACGGAACGTGCAATGAATACTACCAGCTTGGGTATTCTGTCGGATCTGTCTCTAGATGGTCTCCATCCAGGAACATGCTGCGTTTGACTCTATCCGCTGGCCGCGTTGGGACGAAACGCTGAAATTCAACGTGGGAAAACGGGAGTGCCAGGGCTGGAAATTGGGTCTGTAAATGGTACAAGACGACAAGCGACAGGACCAGCTGGCGCAATGATGTCATCGACGGAGTACTCTGATTACACTCTGGCCATCTCCGCGCCGTTATGCCCTCGACGCTATTTCTAGACATCTGGTTCCTCCTATCAACAGCCACCCATATTTCAGCTACGGGAACCTGTTGCAAATATGCCGATTTGACCGTTGAGCCACGGAGCAAAAAGAAACAACAAAATATGCAGAAAGTAGCCCTCCGATATCAAGCTTACAAGTGTGCCCATTTTTCATCTTTTCTGTTTAAAACACAGCAGCGTTGCCACATGCAAGCTTTCAATGTTGCGCGAAAAAAGTCCAGCCAACATTAAATACACTTTGTTATGTTCCAAACAACCAAACACCTGTAGTTGTAGTGACTACTGTACAAAACCCGCGGTGCCTGCTCCTCCCACCCGCCAACAGAGGTCCCCAACCGGCAGCAAGCCGCCACGTTCATATCGGCCAGGGCCATGACGTGCTCGCACAATCTACCACGACGACGCGCACGACGAATCAAGATTGTCCTCGCAGATAGCCTTTGTGCCTGCCAGGGTTCCCCGTGAACGAGGCCAAACGCAATTGACGGGGGCAGTGGGTCCCGATGCGCGATGGCCTCGCCAGATGCCCAAATTGCGCCATCGTCTCGTCCATGTCGTCTTGCAAACGCAAGTTACAATGCGCCTTGTCGCGGCCGGTTTTCGGCGAGCCTGCATTGCCGGCCCGTGGCAGCGGCAGAATGCAAATCTACTAACAAACACCCGACGCGAGGGAAGCATCTGCCGCGTGCGCTCTTTTTCCAACCTCAAAATATCATCTTTGCCCCCGGGATTCGTACAAGATGGGCAACTCTCAGGTACACGACGAGACGCCCCCCTCGCAGACGGTGCTGCTCCTGCGCGCGCCGCGGCAGAGGTACGACCTCGTGGAGGCGTATCCCGTCCCGCGGCTGGCGCACGAGTCGGAGGTGCTGGTGAGGAACAGGGCCATTGGCCTGAACCCGATTGACTGGAAGGCACCGTGCGTCTGAATGTGCGCATCCCAAGACGGGACATGATTAATGTCTGACCGTGCTGGCAGGGACTTTGGCTTTGGGCTGCCGCCGCTGCCGTGCATCGCGGGCCGCGAGCTGGCGGGCGAGGTGGCGCAGGTCTCGCCCGGCAACACCAGGTGGAAGGTCGGCGACAGAGTACGTGACGATTGACGACGGGTCAATCTTGCAATTGCTTCTTTTTCGTCGCTTACACACTGACATACGCACGACAGGTGGCCGTCATCTCCACCGACTACCGCGACCCGCGCAAGGCGGCGTACCAGCAGTTCGTCGTGGCGCGGGAGCACACGGTGGTGCGGCTCCCGGCGCGCATGAGCTACGAGCAAGGGTCGGCGTTTGGCGTCGCCTTTGCGGCGGCCGCCCTGGCGCTGGGCGTCTCGCTGGGCGCCGACTTCTCGGCGGTGCTCGACGGGCCCGACCTGTACCGGGCGGTGCGCGGCCTCGGCGAGGACCAGCTGCCGCGGGACGTGGCCGTCGAGTGCCTGGACGGGCTGGAGCCGGACGAGCGGCCCGCGGCGGGCGACTGGCTCGCCGTCTGGGGCGGTAACTAGACGCCCCCCCCTGGCCGAGAAGATTGGGGCATGATCGGGCTGACTGACACGGTGCCTCTTAGGTTCGGCGACTTCGGCACACCTCGCGATCCAGCTCGCGCGGCTCGCGGGGCTGCGGGTGGCCGTGGTCGTGGACTGCGCCAAGCACGGCCGCTGGCTGTCCGGGCACGCCGTCATCCGCCCGGACCTGTTGGTCGACAGTTACGATCCGGCGCGTGCCGTTGACGTCCTGCGCGCCGCGACCAGTGGCCGGCTGCGGCTTGGCCTCGACACCCGCGGCCGCGAGTCGGCGACGCATCTGCTCCAGGCGCTGCGGCAGACGCCGTGCGATGCTGGGGGAGGCAGCAGCACGTCCCTCATGTCGCCGCCGGGCACGCCGCGTCGGGCGAAGCGGCGGCGCGGCCACCTCGTGGGGCTCGCGGGGCTGCCAAAGGGCGCCGAGGGCGACGACGTCGTGCTGCACACGGTGCCCATCAAGTTGTTTCACGAGGTCGAGAGTATTGGCAGCGCGCTCGTGGCCTGGGCGGCGGCCCTGCTGGACAAGAGCCTGCTGCTGCCGCCGGATATTGTCGACGTCGAGTATGGGCTGGACAGCGTCAATGCGGGGCTGGACCGGATGCGAAACGGAGAGATTAGCGGCGGGAAATTGGTGGTC